TTCGTGGAAAACATGGTTGTCGTTGGACACCTGTCCATCCCTTCATCCAGTTCTATGATTTATACGTCTCTATCTCTCTTCCGTTTGGACCCTCGTAGCCATGACTTGTCGCCGTTGTCGCTTACCGGAAAAAGAAGAAAAAAAACAGCAGGGTGGCGCTACTCCAAAGCCGTCCCTGCTTGACACGCCCCATCATCCGCAACGAACGAGGCTGTACTCAAGTTTACCCTCCGTTATGCACTGTATTTAGCGTCACAAGCGGCTACTCGTACACGAGCCTAAATTGTTTGATGTAGAAGTGCTGCTGTAGTAAATGGCAGGCAAATACCAGCCGGATCTGAGACCGCTCACAACGTGTATCCTCCCACTAACGCTCTAAGTGAGTTTGATACACTGACTCTGAAACTGTAACTGCGCTTGTTGTTCCCACACCTCCACCACCCTTCAATAAGTAAGCCCGAATAGATGCAAATACTCACATGAGATGCGTCTAGGTTGCCAGTAGAAGTTGATATTTCTACAACGAAGGCAATATCTAGCTGAACCACAGGAGTTGCGCAAGCTGGTGTGGTGGAGTAGGATGGCTGGCTGGTTGTTGACCTAGAAATAGCTTTCCGATTAACTTATCAACTTTACCTCATACCTGATTAGTCAAGAAATGTAATCAAAAATGCAATTAAAAAAAACTTGGGCTGCTTTTCTGGCTAATTATTGCTTACCGTATTGCTGGTGTCACTGTGGTTGGCTGTGGTGTGCGGAAGCAGACGGACGATTCCTCCACTAAAAGAATCGACCAGATTACCAGAATGCGACTTTACAAGTTTTACTCTACCTAGACTTATACTGTACTTGAAAGCTGGTAAATAACCGTTCAACCGTAGCGCTCTAACCGTAATTGAGCAGGCACTACCCGTAATATCTGGGCGCGCGAATCAGGGCACGCCATCAATTCCTGAAAAATACGATCCCCTGACTCCACCCTCAAATACAACCTCCCCCATGCTACCTGCCACACTCCTAGATTTTCACCAAATTCCCACCACTTCTTCCATTTTCTCGCCAAAATTTCTAGTTCAGTTTTTTTTCAGTTCTAGTTTAAAAATTCTCCACCTTTGAAAGGACTCGTGCTATGAACTTCGGAACAAACAGACACAGGCATATTTAGCGCATTACATATGGTAGAATTGGAGTAATTGGAGCAGTTCAGCTTGAAAGGAAGGAGTGGGGAAGCGGTGTGGGCACTCTGCACCTCGGCTTCTCCTCATCGAAATTTCATCGCTTTGCAAGCCTCTGGTGTTCAGGCGACAGACGGTCTCCACAAATTATGACAGGGATCATTTCCTGCATCACAAGATTTCACAGGTCTCTCCACTTGATGGCACGACACGTCTATGGGAAGTAGCGTAGTGCAAAGCACCCTCTTCCCACCTCCCCTTCCCCCCTCCCCCAAGTCGGACTCTCCGCCGAATTATCATCCCAAATACGGAAACCCAAGAGAATACAACGAGGCCATTTTACAAACCAACACAATTTCACAAGTCAAAAGAGCTCACCCAAAGTTGTTCCAATACTAGCGGCAATCGAAGTCGCTTCAATGGTAGACGATGGTGAGACCAACTCATAAACAAAAGACTCACTAGTAGCCAGAGATGAAAAATTCGCGGAATTCCCTTAAAAATATGTCACAACTTCCAAGCAAAATTCATAAAGGATATAGACAGGTATGTCAGTATAACAATAATTGTAGGAA